AAGTAAAGAAATAAGAAAAAAAAGTTAATTTTTATTGAAAGTTCCTTATGAGGCAAAAAGAAATAATTGATTAGTATGTATCTCAAATATATGTTCTGTATCTTATAATTAAGTACTTAAGTAGTTGTGGATTCTAAAGGTAATGGCATATTAAAGACAAGTATAAATAATTTGAAAAATAATTAAAGAGTACTTACCTAGACTATTATTGGATATTTAATAACTTTCATGATTCTTCTCTAGTTTTCTGATGATCAAAGTACTGCAAGTGGCTTCTATAGCAAACAGGGGCATAGATATGCGTTTGAAGGACCATATGAGAATCACAGACCCTCAAATGTTTTCTGCAGTTACACAAGCTAAAAATCATTCAACATCAAAGGCTAGCTAGGTGCCATTGTAAAATGCCTTTGAGTAAAAACATTTTAGAAGTCCTGTAAATCTTAAGCTGAGCAATGATACTCTGCTCTCTAGGATGACATTCTTTTTGGGATTCTGAGACCTACATAGAGAAGTATAGCAGTAGAAAAATCAATGAGGTTGCTTTCTTTGGTCATTATGTCTCCTCAGTCAATCCATGTTCTTTTGGAAATTTTACCTACACTCTAGATATATCTGGAACAGCACCATGGCAGGAGTGTGTTTGAATCAGAATAAAGTCCAAGAAAAGTTGGATGTCAGTCTCCAATATGCAACAATAAGAATGAATGTACTACAATTGTATTAAACAAATTGGATGTATTTCACAAATATCTTGTTGAGTAAAACATAGGCATCCATTTATATATGGTTCAAAAAATATGAAAGTAATTTATTGTTATAAACATCAATAAAGTAATTACCCCTTGGGGGTTGGAGGGTAGTAACTTAGGAGCAATCATATAGAAGACTGAGGGATTCTGGTAATGTTCTTTCTTTCTTTTATTTTTTTTTCTCTTGTCTAGGTCCTGGTTACAGGAGTATTTTTATTTTTATGCTTTGAAAATTCATCTAGTTGCATATTTATCATTTAAGTGTAATCTGTATATATGTTACACATCAAAAGATTTTCTAAGTGCAAAATCTGTTCATTAGACTAAGAAATTTCAGAATGTTATTACTATAAATTTGTATTACTAGTAATGCCTTGTATGCAATAAAGTTCAACCTGTTTTTGTGAAAATGTTGCGCAACTTTTATAAAATATTTCAGTCAATAATTATTCCTTTTTTATTAAAATTTCTCTTTTAAAAATAAAACAATATGTTTTATTCAACTCTTAAGCACTTTTAGTATTGTTTCCTGTAAAAGGGAAGCTAAGAGAGCCTGATTGTTCTTGGGACAGTACCATACACTAAACTTATTCATAATTGCCCATGACTTAGGGACAAACGACCATGTTTTTCTGAAGGAAGAAGATTATAAGCAGGCAGCTACCTACAGAATATTAGGTATAGGAGCACTGGTGGCACCAGGGACCAGATTTACATACAGATATTTTTCCTTAATTGCTTACTTCTTATGTAAATTCCAACTAAGTTATTTTCTTCCATAATTTAAAAATCATCTTCAATTAAATACTGATAGTTTCATCCAACTTTTAATAATAATGTAGCCACTTACATGGTCAGAGACAGTCAAATTTAGGAAGCTAATTTATTTCTTACCTATGTAGAGTATAACCTGAAGAGTTTTGTCATTCCTGTAAACAGGGAATCACACGATATAAAAATGAGTTTGAATCAAGGTAAGTTCCCATTGCTTTAAATATGGACAAGAGAAGTAGATGTTGGTAGTAAAGCCCTTGGGCAACACAAATGTTTCAGTGTCTTTAGTGTAATGGGTGGAAAATTATTATAGCTAATTTGTTGGACTTGTCTTTAACCACATTTTCAATAACTGTAAGTTTAGCATATTTGTAACAGCACCATCTTCCAAGTAATGACAATCAAGCATGAAAAACCATTGAAATTTAACACTAAAAATTACTTTTTCCCCAATCAAGAATATTTTATTAATTTAGCCTAAAGTGTAGTTTAGCTTTATAGGAATTTTGAGAAAAGGCTATGTCCCTGTCTACTCCCTGGTAAGGTTTAGGAAGATACAATAATCACCTGGGGTGTGTATATTCATAACTGGCTAATGTCTATCACTTGCTATGTTATTTTTATACATACATAGTTTTCTTTCACTTTTTTGTCGTAAAAAATAGATTAACTCCATTAAGACAGAATGTCGGTGGGAATACATTTTTGTACAGTACAGTCAACAGTAGACTTTAAAGGACACATAGAAATCTCTACGTGTATGTATCCAACAATTACTCACTTATTATAAAATATCACTCAGAACATGGCCAGTACAGAGATTTTTTTTTTCATTACACTATAGTCAGAAACATATTGAGAGCAGGTGCTTGGAGAAGGAAAACTTTATGCTTATGAGACTTCAGAAGTTTGCTCATTACTTCTGGATTTCACTTTTGGTATCTATATAATGAAGTTGTTAGAGTTGGAAACATAAGATAACATTTGAAATGTATGATATGATATATGGAGATATCATAATTAGTATATAGAAAACACATGGGATATAGTACAAGACTCATAGAATGTATTTAATTAAATTCGTATATTTTTCCTGCACAAGTCCAGGGCTGAATGAAGAGGTGCTTTAAAAGCACATTTTTAGAAGGGAGAGTAGAGACAATCTTATGGCCAAAGCAACATGATGCAGGATTTAGCTCTCTGTCCCATGAAGTTAAAGGTTAAAATGGTAGACTGAAGTAGAAAGGGAGAGAACAGCAATACATAGTAGCCACAGGAGAGTCAATGGGACAAACACAAAATTCAAACTTTGAGTACCTTCCAAGTATCAAAGGACTGCCATGAATTATAGTACACAGAGGTTATTCTGGAAATAAATAGAACTTAGCTTTTTAAGAAAAAATAAAAAAGGATGGCCTCAACACACTTTCTCTTTTAAAGAATCATCCTTGGACATATCAACTATATTAGGAGAAACAGACCTGAAAGTAGCTTATGTTTATTCTTGGTTGAACAATACCAGCCTAACAACCGGAAATTATTTAACATCACACAATCCTATTTAAAAACACACATTACTCATGCAAATGTCTGTGCTACAGATTGTGGGAATGTATGGAGACACATACTCCAACAGACAAATGAAATATAAATTAAGAAAAAGTATTTTCAGTATGATGGACGTTGCACAGCCATAAAATAATTGAAAAGAGGGTAGTTGGCAATGTAGTTAGGGAAAAGTATTTAGACAATCATTGATGAAAAAAAGTATCATGTAAGATTATCATATTTCTCAATGGAAGGTGAAGGAGAATTTCAGAAGCAGAAGAAACAGGATGGACAATGAAAAGGACACACAAGCCATTAAGTAGACAGTCTATTCAAGTTTTATTAGATGTCTTATTTCATGATAACCATGAAGCATACCATTAAATGAATTCTAATCAATTTCTAACATTGGTCAATTTGGTGATAAGGTTGAAAAATTAAAAGTTCAGCCTTTGCTAAATCTATTGCAGCATTCACAGGGGAAAATACCAAACTAGGAATCTAATTAATTATGTTTGAATAACATAAAGGATAAAGGCAAAGGCTTGAGAGATTTAAGTCCCAACGGTCACCAGGTAAAAATAAAATGTGATCTACAAGAGGTAAGGACAGAAAGACTTGCCCATCTCAGGTAGGTTTCTGAATGGTCAATTCAAAGAACAGAGGAAAAAAATAATTTTGAAGAATGAGGAATCACGTATTGAGGAATTTACAAATGAGTGATTTTATAGATGCTTACTCAGTTGAAGCACCTCTGCAATCTAATGGCCAAAACAACGATATTTTCTTATTGGATACGTGTGAATTTGACTAACCTTGCTTGTCATTTCTAAGAGGATAGTATAGATTTTACCCTTTTACATTTTAATCAACATTCATAAGAAATCATTACTGCGCAAGTGATATTTTTGTACATGTAAATTTAAGATTGGTTGTAGATTAACTCAAATGATAATAGAGATAACATATTAAAGATAATAATTTATGAAAATACAAGTCCATGTGGACCACATGTCATAATATTTAAGTGTAGAAGAAATAGAATCAGACCCACCCCACATTTCAATTTTTATGTAACAGACACATACAGAGACGCACTCATGCCCACACAAAAGTAAATGCACATATAACACAAGGAACAGAAGCCTCTACATCTCAGAAACATTTATTGTTCCTCTTCGCATTTTGATTTTAATTAAAAAGTCAATTATAAGCAAATGTAAATAGTCTGTGGTTCACACTTCTTTTACCACTTACATTTGGCTTTTGTCCTTTGGAACCAGGTAAGTCATCCAAATGGATTATAAATGTTGTGACAAGCCAGTGATAATGAGTAACAGTTAAATAAAACATTTTTCTTTTAAATAAACACCAAAGACACCACATAAAAAATAGTATCATAATAATTTTTTGCTTATTAACTTACATATAATATCACTGTCAGTGACAGAAAAACTATATATTTCCAGAATAATGCAATAAATGTGATGCTTTTTTGTCAAATACATGAGATGTTTAATCCTGTATGTTTCTGGCCTTGTTACTCTAAGTTTGATTTTTCTTTTACATCCTCTTGGATCTGTACTGAGCTTTCAGCTTAATCAAATTAACTGCCTGAGATTGTGCAATAGAAGCAAAGACAAATGATATATCTCAGAAATTGCACATAAATTTAGAGTCAAAGTTGATCAACTTCCTTTGCTAGACACTTTGTTGTTGTTGTTGTTGTTTCTTATAGTAATGCCTCTTTAAAAGTGACACTCACCTGGGATATTTTTTGAAGGAAAAGAAGATAATTAACATAAACAAATCTTGTTCTGCTTTACAGATACATTTATTTTTCTTTTGGATATCTGGGAAAGTCAAACTCGAATCTGTCCTTCTGATAATGACTTCTGTAGCAGTTTGAAACAAGAACAAGGAAGAATGAATCAGGAAAATTGCTCCTCATTAACTGAATTTTTTCTCTTGGGAATTACCAATAACCCAGAGATGAAAGTGACCCTATTTGCCATATTCTTGGCTGTTTATATCATTAATTTCTCAGCAAATCTTGGAATGATAATTTTAATTAGAATGGATTACCAACTTCACACACCAATGTACTTCTTCCTCAGTCATCTGTCTTTCTGTGATCTCTGCTATTGCTATTCCACTGCAATTGGGCCCAAGATGCTGGTAGATCTACTTGCCAAGAACAAGTCAGTTTCCTTCTATGGCTGTGCTCTGCAATTCTTGGTCTTCTGTATCTTTGCAGATTCTGAGTGTCTACTGCTGGCAGTGATGGCCTTTGATCGGTACAAGGCCATTAGCAACCCCCTGCTGTATACAGTCAACATGTCCAGCAGAGTGTGCTATCTACTCTTGTCTGGGGTTTATCTGGTGGGAATCACAGATGCTTTGATACATACTACATTGGCATTCCGCCTGTGCTTCTGTGGGTCTAATGAGATTAATCATTTCTTCTGTGATATTCCTCCTCTCCTGTCACTCTCTTGCTCAGATACACAGGTCAATGAGCTAGTGATATTCATTGTCTTTGGTTTTATTGAACTGAGTACCATTTCAGGAGTTCTCATTTCTTATTTTTATATCATCCTATCGGTCTTGGAGATGCACTCTGCTGAGGGGAGGTTCAAAGCTTTCTCTACATGCATTTCCCACTTATCTGCAGTTGCAATTTTCCAGGGAACTATGCTCTTTATGTATTTCCGGCCAAGTTCTTGCTACTCTCCAGAACAAGACAAAATGACCTCACTGTTTTACACCCTCGTGGTTCCCATGTTGAACCCCCTGATTTATAGCCTGAGGAACAAGGATGTGAAAGAGGCCCTGAAAAAACTGAAAAATAAAATTTTATTTTAAGAAAATAGTCAAATATGTATTTATACACACAAAAATGCAAATTAGTGTTTTCTTCAAATTATGTATTGTAACACAAAGTTGTCTCAAATAACTTAATTTAATATAATACATATTTTACTAAGCCATCACCTAGGAATTCTACCTTATCTAAATAGAAAACACATAAAGAAATATCGCATAGACTAATCTGTTATTCCCACTTTTCTGTTATTTTTGTGTGTCTTTTTAAATATATAACACATACCAAGATTTTCAAATTATTTAGAAGCAGATTTTCCTTGTGGGAAAACTAATTTTTTTGCCTTTTACCAGAAATAAACTCTTGGTGGAAAAAAAAAAAAAACTAAATAAATATACCATGTTTCTTTAAATATGCCTAACTAAATATACCATATTTCTTTATGTGTTTTCAATTTAGGTAAGGTAATCTCTATTTTTGAAAAATGCTCCAGGCTTTGAGTTAGTGAGGCAAAAAATTTTCATTTGTTTAACATATATTTCAGACAGTAATTTTTCTTTCTTTTTTTTTTTTTTCTGAGACGGAGTCTCGCTCTGTCACCCAGGCTGGAGTGCAGTGTTGCGATTTCAGCTCACTACAACCTCCACCTCCCTGGTTCAAGCGATTCTCCTACTTCAGCCTCCTGAGTAAGCTGGGATTACAGGCACCTGCCACCATGTCCTGCTAATTTTTATATTGTCAGTACAGACAGGGTTTCACCATGTTTGCCAGGCTGGCCTCGAACTCCTGACCTCAGGTGATCTACTCCCCTTGGCCTCCCTAACTGCTGGGATTTCAGGCGTGGTAGGCAGTATTTTTTCTAAGAGCTATTGAGTGTTTATTACATGCCTTTCACACCGCTGTGTACTTTGCATTTCATGCTGAATCCACTATTTTCTGTGCTAATGAGTCATAGAATGCAGTGAAAACTAGAAACATTAATTAAGAAAACTAACAAATAATTCATAATAAACTATAAAATGCCATGAAGTCAAAAGGCAGGATACTTTAAGCATAAACAAAATGTCTAACTGGAGTACATAGAAGAAGATTCTTTGAAATGAGGACATTTGGTTTTAGATATAAAAGTGAGTGGAGATACAATGGGTGAGTGGAGAGCATCATTCTCAGCAAACTGACAGAAGAGCAGAATATCAAACACTGCATGTTCTCACTCATAGGCGGGTGTTGAACAATGAGAACACATGGACACAGGGAGGGGAGCACTACACACTGGGGTCAGTTGGGGGGAAATAGGGGAGGGACGGTGGGGGGTGGGGAGTTGGGGAGAGATAGCAAGGGGAGAAATGCCAGATATAGGTGATGGGAAGGAAGGCAGCAAATCACACTGCCACGTGTGTACCTATGCAACAATTTTGCATGTCTTCACATGTACCCCAAAACCTAAAATGCAATAAAATAAATAAATGGGAAAAAAAAGAAAGAATTCTAGATGGAGAGACTGAAAATTAGAGATCCTGAGGTAGACAGGGCAAGAGGAAAGAATTGAATTGAAGGACAAAATGATACACCCAGTAAAATCTAGTTGAGCTGATAGTCTCAATTCATTCATTTCCACTCTGCTTCTCTTCTTTTCTTCCTCTTTCTAGTCCTGTTTAAATGTCTCTCTTGTGGTTCATAAATAACACTCTCCCAAAGGTACTATTCTATCTATCCGTCTGTTTATTGAACCATAGCTTCCAGTGTGAGACTGTGAGCATTCTTTATTCAAAGACTGCATGTCTCTCATCCCAACCAAAGCATCTGCATGGTTTCTGGGTCACCAAATGGAAAAAAATAAATAACTAATAAAAATCAATACACGGTATAATATTTTTTAATGTTTCTGAGATATCTAAGTATAGTTAACTGAGGGCATATTTATTTTTGAATATATATTTTATAGGTTTTTAAAAAACATTTAAGTTCAGGCGTACAAGTGTAGGTTGTTACATAGGTAAGCTTATGTCATGGGCGTTTGTTGTACAGATTATTTCCGAACCCAGGTAAAAAGCTTAGTACTCATTAGTTATTTTTTCCTAATCCTCCTCCTCCTCCCATCCTCCACCCTCCAAAAAATCTCAGTGTGTGTTGTTCTCCTCTACGTGTTTATGTTTTCTCATCATTTAGCTCCAAGTAAATGAAATGGGTGTTATAGATACTGAGGTGGTAAGTCTACAAAGACAGGCGTATTAATTACATAGGCAGTTACATGCATTCCTGTGGGTGCCTTCTTTATGTTAAACTGCTTTCATTCAGCTCTGCTCAAGTTTATAATGCTAAAAACCTACAAGAAACATGTTGAGACAACATGGTTGTGGCCACATATTTGCAAAATCATACAAAACTCAATTGCAATTTTATTTAGCCTTTGCGACAATGTAAGCTAAAAGACACTGAATGTGTTAGGTTTTCTTGCTGTCCTTGTAAAATTTCCTTTTGTGAAAACATTCCAGGATGTAAGTGAAGCACCAAAAGCACCTCTGCTTTGCAAGGTTTCACACTGTGACAGGTTATAGATAAGTATGGTTATAAAAACAACTATGGGGGAATGCATTATTTTAGGAAACAGGTTTTGAGAGTTTCCACTTGTGACATATTTTCTCAATGTACCCATACTCTTCTGTTAAACGTTTCTATGAGCGGCAGCAGGGTGCGAAACTCTTTTAAATATTATTAAGTCCAGACAGTTTGGAAGGTCAGTAAATTGGTGCTAAGATATAAACTTGTCATCTCCTTCCATATAACATATGACAGTTATAAAAAAGTTGATTTGATCTGCCTATTAGCTACTTTAATCATATATAATGAGTGTTGTCTAAAGAGAAGGAAATTTTAACCCCAACAAAGGCAGGATATTAAGCTCAATAAATGTGTGTCTAAAAATGAAGAAATCAAATTAATTAATTGCAATCTTTATTTCTCTGATTTTTGTTTACAATTAAAGGTTGAAAAATCACTTATTGGGAATATTGCTTAGAAGTTTCATGACTTAAATAAAGATTTGGGCCAGATAGCCTGAACTAACTCTTCCATCTTGGGAGTCAACAGAAATAGGTAAAACATTTCTTAAAAGGCTTTGACCCATTCTAGCCTGTCCACCTCAATTCCTACCACTTCCTTCCACTGTCTGTCTCTCTAAATCACTCTCTAATGACACAGTCACCAGTGACTGATGAAAAGTAGTATTGTCCAAATATGATATTACCAATGACTTTGTGTAATGGGTTAACACAGGATCGTTTCTATATCTTGAATCCATTCCTTCAGCCTTGGCACTGAAATAATTAAACATAATAATGAAATACAATGGTAGATTTGCATATACATGTAATGCAATGAACAGACAGATACATAATGGTGATAGGTTGTATAACTACGCTTGCTAAAATAGAGCAGTAGGGATGCTCAATGAGGCAGAAAGTGGGAGGTCCTATGTTGAAACCAGAGGCAGTGACTTTAAACCTCCCTCAAATCTCTCTCTAGAATCATGTTGTGAACTAGACACCTGATGCAACTTTAAATTACCATGGTATTTAACAAGACTCTTCCTCACAGCAATGAGTCCCGTCCCAACACCCCCCGTTATAAAAAGCCTCATGCTAGTTTATATGTAAGACTCTTTTCAGTTACCATATTTTTTTCTCTATGTATCTATGAGTCTACTGACATGTAAACCTATTTCCTCTATTGGAGATGCAGTATTTTAAAACAAACAAACAAATACAAACATGATGAGTGGCTCCATCTTTACACAAAAGGACCACCAGTGTCTCCAGACTGACTTGACCTGAAATGGCAATGACAATGGTATTAGCTAGAGTGTATGAATTGTGAAAGGTGAGATACGGTAAAGGAGCATAGTCCCTTCAAATGGACTTCCATTTTGCATTCAGACTTTCATAGACACATCACAGAAGTGGTTACATAACTATTAGTATTCCGGGAAATAAAAGCTAAAATCTTAGTGCAGTACTATGACTCACCTAAAAATCAACCAAAATAAATATGACTGACAATATTAAAGTCAGGTATTGTCATGGATGTGGAACAACCATAGCTTGTCCACATGGCTAGTTTAAGTCAGATTGACAACCTTTGGAAAACTAGTTGGCGGTATCTACTATAGCTGGAAACATGCATAACTTATGACTCCAATGTTTTGTTCCTTGTTTGATACCCAATAGAATTGAGTAAATATGCCTATCTAAAGACTGTACAAAAATAATCACAGCAACATTATCTGGAATTTGTTGAATAACATACAGTTTGTTTATTAGGAGGTTACACAACAATGAAAATGGAGAAACTACCACTACATGCAACAGTATGGAGGAATCGCACATAAAATGAGTGAAATAATCCAGGCATAGAAGAATACAAATTCAATTATTTCATTTCTAAATTGTTTTTGAAAATACAAAACCAACCTATCATATTGGATGCCGATTTATGTTAGGGTCCAGGGACAGTCTCTGAATTGCTGGTTGTGTTCTAATTAATGTTCTGGCTTTTAGATACAATAATCTTCTCATTTCTGAAAGTTTACTTCATATTTACTTTAAAAATGTGTATATATACACACACATATGTAGATATGTGTATATAAATGCATACTTTAAAATGTATACATACTTTTAACATTTTTCAAAAACCAAAGGGTATTTACTACCAGATTGTAGGCAACTGAAGTATTTCATAGTCACTTTTTAAGTCTCTAGCACTTTCTAGGACACAATACATTTTCAAGTTATGCTTGTAAAACTAATAAAGCACACAACACTCATAGAATATTTTATTAAATAATTATTCTTTATGTTACTAAAAATGTGCTGCATTGCTTATAAAACAGAAATGCTGGCAGCCCACAGCCAGTGCTTGGTCTCAGCAACAAGGAGATTAATGATCCTGGTTTTCCTTGGTACCAGTATCACGCACTGAACTTACTTGATAATGGCCCATGATTCACAGCCAGGAAATGATCTCCTGAAGGAAGAACTTATAAGTAGACAGTTGACTATGTAGTACTATGTTTAGCGACACCCATGACATCATTTAGATACAGACATTTTTGTTTTTATTTTCTCAATTGTTGGTGAAATCTTAAATTTTACCTTTTTTCACTCATGATTTTTTAAAAAGTCATTCTCTATTAAGGCACAAGTCCCTTTGGGAAATAATTTAAATTATCCAATTGTTCACAATATATTGGTATTCATGCTCTGATACAAGTGGGTAGTGAAAATTAGACCATGTTGTCTGGAGGGGCAGCTGTGTTTTTGAAGTTAAAATTTTAATCCTGCCTAAACAGAGTGTAGCTAAGGAAATTTGGTATCTCTGAATAAACATAAGCTTGGAAAAAAATCAGAATAAGGTGACCAAAGACACTTCCACATCCTCCCAATATGTGCCAGAGAAGCAGATAGTGATGGTAAGGCCCTTGGGTAACAAAATATTACTTTACTGAGTTTACCTTATGGAAGACTATTAGCAATTACTTAGGTGGTGTGAGCTTTGCTTCAACATTCTCTCCTACAAAAGTATATTTGGCATTTTACTATTAGGATTATCTCACAAAAACGACAATGAAATATTAAAAAATTAAAAATTGTCAGAACCACTTTTCCAAAAACTATAATTATATCAATTTCAATGAATTTCACCTAAGTATTCCAGCTTTATGCAAACCAAGTGGGAAATATTATGACAAGAAACAAGACAAACAAATAAAAATAGCAACAACAAACCTACTTTTTACTCCAGGTGGGATTTCAGAAATGAACCTGAAGTACTGAAGCGTATAAACTTGTACGTGTCTTGCTCATTTTACTGTATTTCTGTTTGCACAAATTTTGCATATACAGAATTTATAGTAATTAACCACATTACAATTCAAGAGCTACAGCTAATATACATGATAATGGTACATATTCTTTAAATAGCAATAAACATTAGACATTTAAAGATCACATAGTAACCTGTGGTTGTAAGTACACTGTAATGATTAATGCATTATATATCACTCAGAAGATGGCCAATATAAAGGATATACCCCAAAGGTTGTCAGGCTGCACAACTTTAAGGGGCACCGATTTCTTTATTTTCTACTTGTTTCCTGCAACTTTATAATGCAATGACCTACCACATCACTTTCTATTAGCACCAATATTAATAATGATCAAGTGCCTAGTTGATATAAGCAAGACAAATTACTCCCCATTAGCAAACCTTATTTCTTCCTTCTATCTTCAGTCACTGCTGAAATCCTCCTGTCCTGGTTGAGAAGTGACATGAGTGATCTCTGAGAGTCTATGGGCCACTAATTTTGTGAATTTTCAAACATCGCTTTAGCATAAACACATTACAACATTCTATAGGAGTATTTTAAAAATTATCTTTTAAGAGAAATCTGTTTTATTGAACTTCATTAAAAAATTTATTGTGAGCATTTTCTATGGATTCAATCAAACAATGTCTATAAGACTATAAGTTAACTTATCAGCTGTGGGCTTCAGATTCTGCATCACATAATGAGGTTGTTTGAGACGACTCGGGACATATGTGACAGTATGTGAAATATATGAGAATACGTGGTGATAATTAGATAATTATAAAACACCTGACTTGGTAAGAAGGAAAAAATTATCTTTATTTAAGATCAAATCTTTTATCCTTACAGGCCATTTTTAAAAACTTATTTTAATGAAACACTTGGATATGATAAATTATGTATGCGTAAGAGACTTCTTGTGATATGAAAAATTGTATATAAATGAAATGGCCATTAGTAGAGTATAGGTCAAATAAATTAATATATATAAATAGAAGTGAATACATTTTCTCTAATCATATTATTTATTTCTATATAAAATGTGTTATTCTGACATCATTTTGTTTAAAAAGCAGAAATCTAATAGCATAGACAACAGAACCTGGTTACCTTCACGCAATGTGATTATTCCTACTTTTGTTCTTTTTACTAAAATCTTTATTTTTCAGTGTGTTGAAGGAGAAGTGTTGTATGTATGTTTAAGTGTGTTTATAGGGGGAGTATTTGTTTTGTATAATGCGCAATTAAAAGAAAATGCCTGTGTAGAGATTGCTGGACTGGAAATAATCAACACTGGTTGACTAGAGTCATTTTACTTTTGCTAATTAAATATATTGAACATAAGCTAGACAGAAAAAAAAGTAATATCTTAAATGGTCTGTATTTTTTTCTCAATCATTACCCTACCTGTATAAAAGATTAACCGTTAAACCTAATTCTTAAACTTGCCACTTATTCCTGAGAGACGAAGTATCCAACACCCAAGAGTCATAGCAGAGCTACTTATATAATCTAGGTAGGTCAGGAAACAATACTGAACCCTTATGAAGAGAGGGCTGGCTCCAGTAAAGAAATCAGCAGTTCTGGATCAGGTACTAACTTTTTGTTATTTTCTGGTTTACTTTGTATATTTATTTAGTTCTTTTATTATTTTCCACTAAAAGTATCATATAAAACTAAACAATGTGAACATTATATTAATCACTTTAATTATTATTTTTAAATATGAACACACAGATGGCAAGGAATGGAATAAAATGTTAGCATGGGCAATAAATATGTTCAGACATTATTAGTATTTTTAATATCTGTGCTTACATATATATTTGAATGTTATATTAAAAAGAAAATTATTATTTTTAAAGATAAGTCTACAAAGGCAGCTTTTTAATAAGTTTATACTGAAATTTTAGAGACCTGCATGTTGATCACTAGACCATTATTCAGACGTCATCCTTTTTCTGTTTTTCATCTACCTTCAGGTCTACTTTTCTTCTCTCTCACAGAGCAGAGGGAGACATGTATGATATTACACAAGATATAATTTGTTTAGGGGAAATATAACAATGGGATCAATAACAAAATTGGCCCCCCAAAGACAGCTAATTATTTTTAACTGAAGTCTAGCAGTTTCAGAGGTGTAGAAGAGAAGAATCAATGAAAACAAACAAACAAAAATTTGTTACAACTTCTTCTTAATTGGGATGGGGAACACATCTCAGGAATGAATTTGTCTGAGGTTATGGGACTGTGGACATATGAATGTTCTTGAAAGTCTGGTCTATTGGTGAATGGATAATGTGGATTCCACTTGATCAGGAAGGAGGGACCCATATAGTAAACCATAGCCTCTTTCTTACATCTCTATCACCAGTGCTGCAGCATCCTTGCAATTAGCTTCAAAATGTTCTTTATATTCTCCTGTGAGCCACAGCAGCTTCAGACCAAGGCGTAGTTAGCCTTGGCAGATTCCTGTCTGTCCATTTTAGCTTACTGATTATGGAGACCCTTCTACTCGCTTCTCATGCCACCCTCACCCTTCTTACTCCAGTGATTTGTGAACCACAGACTGTCTCCATCCCAGTGACAATGAGATGCAGGCTTGGTTATTAATGCTGGATAGGACCTGGGGGGTCATTGGGAAGTGGAGGAATGTTACATGTAAGAACCTGTCATTGTTCTGCCTGCTCTACATTTTTAGATGACGAGAGAAACATAATGGGATATATTCATTACCCGCACTTATCGCTTGACTGTGCTTGTCTATGATGAGATATCACAACATTTCTACAAAAATGAAAGCAAAAGCAGCAACAATAATCTTGTCATAAGATGTGGGTTATCTGGTCGAACTAATTATAAGAACGATTACCTTGAACTCTGAGGACATCAATTTCCTAGTCTATAAAAGAGAAGTAGCAAAATCACCATAAATAAATAATGCATAGGTTTTCATGAATTAGCATGATTTAATTTGGATGAAAGTGTAATACAGTCTCTGTACAGTGCCACAGAAATATAAGAGATATTATGGTGCTGATTTTGTTGATTTACATTAAATTGGATATTTTCCAGTAGATTGTTTATATCTTTATTTTTTTTTTTACTAAAAAAAGACCATCAGTGTGACTATTAGCATAGTAAGATAATGTTAACCCTTCACTTCCATTTTCTTCTTTCACAGTCAGGGATTTCCAGATCGGAATGAAGACCCCTGAGAACTGCACTGTGTTTACTGACTTTGTATTCTTAGGACTTTCAGGTGCACAGGATGTGCAGCAGGGGCTCTTTGTGCTTTTCTTCCTGATTTATGGCATAACTGTGATTGCCAATCTAGGGATGATCCTACTGATCAAGATGGATCTCACACTTCACACACCCATGTATTATTTCCTGAGCAACTTGTCTTTCTGTGATGTCTGCTACTCTTCCACTGTCTCTCCCAAGATGCTGGCTGATTTCTTAACTGACCAAAAGCGGATTCCGTATAATTTATGTGTCGTTCAGATGTATTTATTTGGAGCCTTTGCAGATGTGGAATGTCTCATGTTGGCTGTCATGGCCTATGACCGTTATGTTGCCATTTGCAATCCACTTCTTTATACGATCACTATGTCCAGGAGGCTCTGCACCCAGCTAGTGGCTGTGGCCTACTTTGTAGGCTTGGTGGATTCTGCAGTCCACACCTGCTCCACATTCAGGTTGTCATTCTGCAATTCTAATGTCATCAATCACTTTTTCTGTGACATCCCACCCTTGCTAGCCCTCTCTAACTCAGACACATTCATCAATGAGATAGTGATGTTCACATTCATTGGCTGTGTTGTGGGGTGCAGCATTGTCACTGTCTTCCTCTCCTACAGCTACATTATAATGATGATCCTTAAAATGAGCTCAGCTGAGGGCAGACTTAAAGCCTTCTCTACCTGCACCTCCCACTTGATGGCTGTGGCTGTATTTCACGGCACACTCCTGTTCATGTATTTCCGACCCAGTTCAAGTTACTCAATGGAAACAGACAAAATGGCTTCTGTTTTCTACACGGTTGTCATACCTATGTTAAATCCACTGATCTACAGCTTAAGGAATAGGGATGTGAAAGATGCTCTGAAGAAAGCGATAAGCACTAAATTATGTTCTGTATGACACTGTGATTTGCATTCACAAATAATAAACTTCTGAGACTTAAAGTTCATGTACTTCGACATAGGTTTCTGTAGTGTCATCCATACGGCCTTCAAGGTATTTTTAATTACTTACCATTGTGCTTAAATTGTGTGTACGGGGGGAAGAATTATTGCTCTTAGTCTTCCCTCTAAACCAAGGAGGAGTAGAAATAGACTTTTTTTGTTGTTTAGCAGAGAAGGTCCTTTTATATTTCCCCACTCTCTTCATGAACATGCCCCAGTGAACTGTTGTGGGTTCTAATGAACCATTTTCCCACACCAATTCAACAGACCCTCCCTAAATTTCCTATTACATACAAAAATGTTGCTCATCCAAAGGGAGTTTTAGAGAATCAAACTTAGCCTGGTTCGTGCTCTTCCTATGTACGAGTATCATCCTATAAGTGTCCTGCATATACTTATAAGTAAATAAGCAGTAAATAAATATATAAAAGCAAATAAGAAATCTCTTGCCCAAATAAGAAGTGTCTTGCCCTAGACATAAAATTCCATAAAGGTAATGTGCTTTCCTGCCTTGTTCACCATTATTTCTACGTTGTTATTTTTAATGCTTGGCTGCAGGATCCCATTTATAAACAGTTATTCAATACACAAATCAATGTTCCTTGAAAGTTTATGCAAAAAGGAGGCTTTGTACATTTACCAGAAAAAGAAGTCCCTTCCATTTCATTCTAGTATGTTCACCTTGGATAAAATCCATCTGTGCCTCTTGTCTTTTGACCTAGGTTTGAATTAAGTTATCACAAACAGAGATCATCTTTGATATACTGAACAATTTTTCTCAAATCCTCTATTCCTCATTATATCAGCAGACATCCCCAGGATCACCAATCCCAGATTTTTATTTTAATATTAAATTATTCTCTCATAGTCACAGCACCAGCCTCCAGACTTCCTCCCTACCCTTACTCTGGAGAACAGGCATGGCGCTATTGGCAACCTATAGGACTGCACAAATGGAACGAAAGATCTGTACTTTCTCCAAAGGCCACTGGAAAAGGAGCCTCAATCTCCCTTGATGAGTTTGTACCATTATATTCTGTTAATGGTTCATGTGAACTAAAATTTCAAAAATGGAAGGTCCAATTGATTTGGGTGAAGTTGTAAAGTATGTTCAATGGAAAAAAACCCACAAATGACAAGTCATGTTTACATTAGTGTATCATTTATAATAATTTATATTGCTGCTTTGTGTATTCATGAAATAAACTGGAATCCTATTCTAAACAAAAAATTAGTAGTGGTCATCTCTAAGTGATTGGCTGTTAGCTAATCCTACAATATGTTTCAATAAATTAATTAATTGCATATATTTGTCTTACTGAAATCATTTAGGAATTAACCAAGTTATGAAAAACATAACCCGATTTTTTATTCTAAGGATTATTCATTTTATTTTAAAGTGTTGTCATAAAGGAAACACATAAAGGCACACTTCTCTGGTACTAGGAGGACAAGGTAATGAATTATATAGGGTTTTGTTTAGGCCTTCTATAATTGTATATATCATTTTAGTTATAAATTACACTGATTGTTATATGCTGCAAAGCATCATAGGAGTGAAACAATTAATTAAAAACATAAAAGTTTTAGCAGAATATTTGTTTTGCATTACTAACTGAACAGAATTTTAAAACAAGAATATTTTACTCTCTCTTAAATATTTATTTTCCTCTATAATTTTAAATAGCATATTGATTGTTCATAGAATATATTACTTATCAGGATCTCTCCATCACTTCCCAAACCATTTCCTGACTCAATGTAGTTTTTTAAAAAACATATTAATTATATTCATATCTATAAAAAACTAAACACACTTTGGCCAGGCATGGTGGCCCATGGTCACTTCCAGCACTTTGGGAGGCTGAGGCAGGCAGATCACTTGAGCTCAGGAGTTTGAGACCAACCTGAGCAAAATAGTCAGAGCCTGTCTTCACAAACACAAAAGAATTAGCCAACTGATAACTGAAACAAGTGATTTAGTATCTATTAGCTATGGTCATTCCTAGCATTATTTTAGAATAATTAAAATAACTTATTCTTAAGAAGTGACTGTCATAAGTTTTTATGATAATAAATTAATTTATATGTTAGCATACCCTCCAGACACAACTTCTAAAGAAGGATAGGAATTCAGGCCATTGAAAATTCCTCCTCAGTACTAATAGAATGAACTCAAAATACTGAAAGTTAGCACAGTTAGTCGATAGTGCTAGACAAGAAAAATAGTTGAGGCAGGTACAGTGGCTCAGGCCTGTACCCAGCGCTTTGGGAGGCCAAGGCAGGAAACTCACTTGAGCTTGTGAGTTCAAGACCAGCCTGGGCAACATGGCAAAACCCCATCTCTACAAAAAAATTAAACAAAAAATTATCTGAGTGTGGTGGCATGCGTCTGTGGTCCCAACTACTCAGGAAGCTGAGGTGGGAGGATTGCTTGAAACTGGGAGGTTGAGGCTGCAGGCTTGAGCCTGGGGGGTCAAGGTTGCAGTGAGCTGAGATTACGCCACTGCACTCCAGCCCGGGCAAAAGAGTGAGAATCTGTCTCAAAACAAAACAAAAACACCTAAAATACTCATTTTACATTGTTAATCTCAGTTTCCTCATTTCTTTAACATGGGTTTAATATGTGTATAACAAAATTAAAGCTACATATCGTTATCTATAAATATAGGAGTACATTATGTCTTACATGTATATATGTGTGTATATGTATATATATATATATATATATACACATATATATGTATTTATGTGTATATATGTGTGTATACACACACACACATAAACTCTCTTATCTCAGGGATTAGATATATATATCAAGGATATCCATCTATCTATCTATCCATCTATCTATCTGTCTATCTATCTATCTATCTATCTATCTCCTTAATATTGGTCAAGGGACTCTTTAAGAAAATACTGAGCCCACTCTCAGGTACTAACCTCCTAATGCTGAAAGAAAGGATGGTATTGTTCACAGCATCATGTTATGAAATACTCTGCAGACTCCATCTTCTTCTATCCTTTTACAGCCTGCTCACCTAGTTGGTCACACTACAGTTACAAATCCTAGTCTCACGTCATGTTTCTAGCTGGCTTCCCAGCCACCTTAGGACTTCTTTGTTTCTGATCTGGTTAGAGCTGAGTAGAGGTTTCTTCATGGCAACCAGTGCTGGCTGCACCATTCCCATGTTTAGGTCAGAAGACTGAAACTATACTATTGATTTAAGTCCCAGGCCCCACAATCCCAAGAAGTCAGTTAATTAATCCCAGAGTACCTCATTTTATGTTATACTGTGAAACTTTATCCCAAGGGCTGTGGCTGACATGCCACATGTAGATACAAAAAAATCAATATCTATTCCTTGTGATGAACCCATGCACTTAAAAAATTTCCTATTCAGTAAAGCACGTGGTTCTTATTAATTTCAGAATGCTATTCCAGTCTTCACCAAAGCACCCATTAGCCGGAGTCCTACCTCAAAAGTGTTCTGTATAAACAAATTCCTTCTTGTTTTAAAAATACATCCCACTGCAGTGAATGAAACTGTGCTCTAGATTTACAACACAGCAAACGCTTTCACTGTCAGAGGCTTTACTCTCTAGTTTATCCTCTATCCCAGCATTCATCCTCACCTTTGAGTTTAACACTGTTTTCACGCTTTCCAGCCATAACTTCCCTCTAGATCATACTCCAGTGGCCAACTAACTTCTCACCCACCATCTGAAGGCTCTGGTTCTCATCCCTGGCTCTCAGAGAATAGCTTTTTTTGGAAACAGATGCTTGATGTCACAAAGAAAAATCGGCACTGAGACAAAGGATCTCTCAGCAAAACAATCTTTACTTGCTGCAGAAAGAGTGCTTTTGTTAGCTATCTTGCTAAGAGAGTACAGTGAACAAAGGAAAAGCAGACATATTCATCTTTTACGCATTTGGGGTCATCCTTACTGCTGTGTCTGCTCTCTCTCTGTTGGCTGGAGCTAGGTTTCACAATCTAAAACTAAAACGATTGGCTAATAACTTAAAACTTTTCTAAACAGATAAAAGCAATGGAGAACACAAAGGAAGTCTAAATTAGGAAGGAGCATAGGCTATGAGCTGGGACATGCCTGTGAGCACATCTAGCACAGATATCTTGGTTAAAGTACAAGGGCATAGAATTTACTATGTGGCTATGAGCATGTCTAACAGCTACATAGGATAGGCCTTAAGAAAGGGTCACTAGTAAAAAGCAAGAAGGCTGTGAAGAAAGTTAGTCTTTAAAAGAGACTATTATTTTTAACATTTAGTATTATTATTACTATTATTATTCTTTAACAAGAAAGGAAACTTTGAAGAAGAACCTTTCTACTTCCTACAGCTTACCTCAGAAATTTTAACTGTTTGCTTGCCAATCAAGAGATTTCAGACTCAACATATTCCAGAGAAAAACTTTCATGAAACGTTTTAATTTAGTCAATGTTTGAAAATTGTCTTTAAAAAAGTCATTACACTTGAAAATATCTTGTAATAATCAAACTTCAGTTTCAAAATTGTCTTTCCTGACACCTGGTTTTTTCAGGAGCGATGGAGGTGAGGGCACAGTTTCCCCTTCCCTCAGAAGTCCAAGCATAAAAAGGCTTAGAGATGACAGTGAGAGTTTTTGAGTCCCCATTTCACTCACTGCTTATCAAGCCTCCACGTTGTGCACCATAAATGTTAAGGGACTTTTTCCTTAGTTCAGCTAAGAGCTGGGTCCTTATGATATGGCCACAAATTAGGCTCGCAGATGATTTGAAGGGTGCTAATAATGGAATTTATTTTGCAAAAAGAATAGAAGAGAGAACAGGAACTCTACAGCAAGGCCAGAATTCCCGCTAGTGTAGGCTTCCCGCTTCACAGATTGAATTTCCAGGTTCCATTCAGGAAGAGGAGGGACTAGGCTCCTCCTCACTGCAAATGTCACGAACTTCTGTGGCTCCACTTCAGTGTGCACTTCTCCCAGTACCTAGGCCAGTTTGAGTTTTGGAAAGGAGCCCTTCCCACATGGTTGCCTCAAAAGTTTGTGGTGAAAAGAGAAAAGGAGTAAGACTATGAGATACAGGAAATTAAGTGTAAGGTAAATCTTCCCTGAAAATAAATAGTAGAAATTTCAACTTTAAAACAATAGACATAATATAAGTGATATGAGAGGGCCAATCTCTAAAGCTAGGCTGTGGCCCTATTCTGTGGTTGAGGATCATTACCCACAGATTTGGAAAGCATTTATATTAAATTGAATTTTCCAACAGTTAGAACCAAAAGTCAGAGACTGGGTATTTTTTGAAAAGTTGTCAGGCCCAGTTTCATCTTAAGAAAGCAATTTTCTTCCAATCACTTTTCTAAAAGCATTTTTGACGTCTTTATTCCTTAGACTGTAAATTAGAGGGTTCAACATAGGTATGATCAAAGTATAGAACACAGAGGTCACTTTGTCAATATCCAGTGAATGGCTGGTGCTGGGACGCAAATAAATGAATATCAAGGTACCATGATAAATAACGACCACAGTCAGGTGGGAAGCACAAGTGGAGAACCCTTTTCTTCTTCCCTCCACAGAACCTGTTCTAAGAATAGCTGCCATAATGAAGACATAAGAGAGGAGAACTGTTAAAAGACAGACCGCTTCCACAAAACTGGCAGAGACAACCAGAACGATGTCATGTATGTAAGTGTCAGTGCAGGACAGAGAGAAGAGTGGGGAGATATCACAAAAGAAATGGTTAATGTCTTTGGAGCAGAATGACAGATGGAAAGTGTTCATGGTGTGAATAACTGAGCTTATAGCGCCCCCCAAAAATGCTCCAATTGCAAGCTGGCAACAAACCTTCTTGGACATAATCACCATATACAGCAGTGGGTTGCAGATTGCTATGTACCGGTCATAAGCCATGACAGCCAAGAGGAAAGATTCCGTGTCAACCAAAGAGCAGAAAAAATATAACTGTGCGACACAGCCGTTGTAAGAAATGGTCTTCTTGTCAGAAACCAAGTTCACAAGTAATTTGGGGGCAATGACAGAAGAGTAACATGCATCTATGAAGGACAGCATGCAGAGGAAAAAGTACATAGGAGTGTGCAAGTGGGAACTAATTGTGATTAATAAAATCATTCCAAGGTTCCCCATCAGAGTAACAGAGTAGATGAAGAAAAACACTGCAAAAAGGAGACTCTGAAGTTCCAGATGGTCACTGAATCCCAGGAGAAAGAACTCAGTCTTCACAGTGCCGTTCTCTGGCTCCATTATCTGGTTTTCTGGAGGTGTAACAGAATGACAAAAGAAATGTTAATAATAGCCTGGACACTGGCAAAATTTTAAAAAAAGAAAGAATATTTTTAAAAAAGAGATAAAAGTATGAAAATTAATAAAATTCATTCTAAAACCACATAGGCATCCTGATACAACTAGGCATGCGTCCTTTTTCAGTTATTTTTCATTATATTTAATTAAACCAATCATTTACCTTCTCAATTCCTTAATGTGATTGTTTTCTGCATCATATTGCACCGCCATCAAGCCAGTTGCTAAACTCTAAACATGACCTTCACTCTTAATTTCTTCAATTCTTTCATCTACCGCTAATGTCCAGAGATAGTGCAAACCATCTTGTCATGGCAAACTCTTAATAAATGGCCTCTGTGGCATTGTGACATTTGGTATAATCCATTTGGGGCAAGCATTCTGTGTTCATAGAAGAAGTTTGTGCCTTTCTTAAGAAGGCTGTGGTTCCTTAGGAGAAACAGGCTTTTTATATTTTGCTTTGAGGTTTTTGTGATCCGCTTTTTGATCTCACCTCAGATCCCAAGAATTCAAACTCTGCTATTCAAATCTCTAGTGGTAAAAGATATATGAGCAATTAAACAGTTCCACTCGGGAATTGATTAAACACAAAATGAAATGATGTAAGATGTTTTTCTACATCATGAGAATGCCTCAAAGAAACATATTTTGGCTTTTGAAATGGTAGGTTACTATATGAAAAATTTGATTATATTTATTATCTAATTTGATTTAACCAGCTCAAAGCAACTAATCAAACAACTACTATAATATTCTATGCATATTGATGGTACAATAAATTGAAAACAAGCAAAAATATATCTAGTGATTGAGAAAGAAAATTATAAATGAGTTTAATAAGTCTGATATGTACTATGATAGATTTACATCTGCATTCAAATAAAATGCTGGTAACACAAGGTCAGAAAACTTCAAAAGGTCTTCACTGAAAAAATACCTTCACTCTGTGAGTATTTTCTTCCAGGTACTGTTCTATGTACCAAGTACAAAAAGGGGAAGAGAAGAATAACTTGAAATGAGCATTAGGTATTTTGACAAGTACCAAATAGAAAAGAAAAGATGCAGTAAAGAAAATCACATAAACAATTACATGGAAAAGTAAAAATCTATGGCATGTTTGGAGACTTGAAAATGAGGCTGAGAATGTGTTGTCTAATGGAGAAAGAGAAGTCCAGCTGAAAGACATATAAAACAAGTTAATTTAAAACCGTGTGTGTATAGATATATATGTGTGTTAATTTAAAACTGTATGTATATATCTAGAGCTTTATCTTTATATACACACACACCCATATATGTGTGTGTGGTTATGTATCTATCTATACATACATACACATATATATGGCTAAAATTTCTTGAAATCCACTTCAAGAAACTAGCACTTTATGCAATTAATAAAGAGAATGTTTATTAAAAGAATATTTATAAGTAGGTGTATTTGTCATCTTTGGTCGGGTGTGGCAGAATAACATTTTTAAGTGGCTTAGCAGAAGTGGGAATTTATTGTTTACATAACTTAAAAATCTGGACATAGATTAGTTGAGAGAGGATACAGGTGTTAAAAATTTTGCCATTCTCCAGCTCTCTGCTATCCTTTTCTTTTGGATGACTAAACTCTCAAGCAGACTCTCTCTTTTCACCAAAGAGAGCTACGAGCTGTTTTATGCAGTTTCTACCTGCCCAGAGGATTAGCCTTATAAAGAAGAAGCTCTTTTTTCCCAATAATTCTAACAAAATCCCACAGCTGAGTCACTGGCTTACTGGTACCTATTCAGAAAAAAATCAGCAGGTGTCTTGATGACTGTCCATGAATGCTTCCCAAAATACATTGCATGCAAAGGAAGAGACAGACAAAGAAAAGGAGAGTTTGGATCCCTACAGAAAAATTAAGGTGGTATCAGTGAGTGATAGTTTTTCTTTTAAAGTCTATTTTGTTTTATGTTCATACAGCCTCTCTAGAGCTCTTTCAATTTTTACTGCATAAAATTTTGTGAGCCTTTTATATTTAACTTATGTCTTTATAATAGAAAAGATATTTTTAGATAGCACAGAGTTTTGTTTGCTTTTCTGTTGAGTCTGGCACACTACATCTTCTAATTTTGTGTCTAGAGTACTTCTGGTTAATGAACATATGGGTGGAGTTAATGTTACTACTGATTCTGCTGAATTAAGTTTACCATCTTCATACTTCATCTTTACTTGCTTTAAGTATTTCTCATTTCTTTCATTCACATTTTTTTTGAGTTGGATTGTTTTCACGATTCCATTTATTTTATATGCTCTATTGACTTCTTAAGTCTTAAAAATTGTGATAGTTTTCTAGCAGTTTACAATATATTTATTAGTAAATTATTGATTTTTTTTTTTTTTGAGACAGTTCTTACTCCATCATCAGGCGCCAGGCTGGAGTGCAGTGGCGCGACCTCGGCTCATTGCAACCTCTGCCTCCCAGATTCAAGCAATTCTCCTGCCTCAGCCTCCCAAGTAGCTTATTAGTGATTTTTTATAGACCTAAAAGGGTAAACATCTAAGTCTTTCTTATCCATGATGCTACTGTTGTACACTTTACTTTTACAGACTCTATAAATGCTATTCATTGGTATCTTTTCCTAAGACTCATATATTTTAGAGCGATTTAAAATAACTTTTAAATGTAGATCATTAACATAATTTCTTATGCTCTGTATTTCTTTACGTAGCTTTGAGTTTCTATCCGATATGATTTTGCTTCTTCTTGGATACCTTACTTTAACCTTCCTGGTAGCACCTACCTGCTATCAATGAATTATCTCAGTTTTTGTTAGATTAAAATTTTTTATTAATTTTAGAAAGAGATTTCCATTGTGTACATGATTCTAGGTTGACAGTTTTGTTGTTTCCCCATCAACATTTTCAATTTCTCATCTTTTCTTTCTATACTAACTTTTGTAGTTACTGCTAGGAAATCTGTTGTAATGCTTTCTTTTTAAAAATCTGTTGTTCTAAAGTAGAGATGAATCTGTGTCTCCACCACCACTAAGGGTCATTTGGCAAAGGTGGAGATATTTTGATTGTCACAACTGGAAGGAGGTACTCCTGACATCTAATGCATAGAGGCCAGGGACAGATGAGCATCCTACAATTCACAGGATAGTGCCCAACATTAACCATTTTTCAGTAAAAAAAAAAAATCTTAATAATGCTGATGTTGAAAAGCCCCTCTTGATGTGTAATGGTTCTTCCTTTCAATATTTTCTCTTTTACTTTTTTCCTTCTCCCCTTGTATGATCTCTCTCTCTCTCAATCTCTCTCTCTCTGTCTCTCATGTCCTTTGCATCAACATCGATGCAGCTAGAAGTCATCATCCTAAGTAAATTATTACAGAAAAGAAAACTAAATATTGCATGTTCTCACTCATGAGTGGAAGCTAAACATCAGGTACCCATCCATGGACATAAAGAAGGAAACAATAGACACTGGGGAATATAAGAGGGGAGAGGGAAAAGAGAGAGGGGGAGGTGTCGAAAACCTACCTATTGGGTACTATGCTCACTACCTGAGTGATACATTCAATCATAGTTCAAACAGCAGCATCAACGAATATGCCTTTGTAACAAATCTGCACACATACTCCCTGAATCTAAAATAAACGAAAAAATAAAGAATGGTGAAATCTGTGCTCCTCTAGAAATACACATATTTATTCACAAATAATTTTAATAATTGAAATAAAAAGTAAAATTCACCCCAATTAATATAATTAAAAGATGCATTTCCATTGATAATTTTACAGTTTCTCTTTCAATATTTTATAAAAATTTGTAACACATTTAAGTTGTTGAGTAGAACAATGGTAATGTTTGAGCCCAACTATGGTAATGATTTTTGTAGTGATTATTCATTGTAAATAAAAATCACATAGAACTTTATTACCAGAGGAAATAAATGGTTAACTTACCTACATTTATTAATGACAAAGTAATATACTCATATGAATCATAAGAGATACAATTCTGGAGAGTAAATGGAACTTCAATGTGAGTTCAGGGACAAAAGAAGTGATAAGAAATCTGATAATCTGTGTATTTTGAATTAATCATGTTAGACATGGGGTAACTATGGCATACAAGCTATTAAAATTAAATACTCTTTTCTGATGTAATTCTGGTTTCATGGAAAACCTGAAGGAAACAACCACAGCTTTTGCAACATTTTTATGAAAGTTAACTTAAAAGTTTAAATGTCATCTCCTTATGTTCCAAGATTATTCATATCATGTCTCTTTTTTGTATAATGATGAAATATAGCAGGAGTTTTCTGTTTTATTTACTCAATAATTATTTCCTTTTTTTTAAGTTGGCAATAATTGCGCCTCTGATAAATCTCATTGGCGACGATACAGTCACTGTGCAAAGCTAACAATTATTTCTTAAATATATACCATGCCCCTGGTCTTTGCAAATCTTAACTGTTCTCTCTGTTACACTAACCATGCAAGAGATACAGGGAGATCCTTCCTTCAGGTCTCGCATTTACTTAGTTAATTTATTGCTAAGGATATTAGACACAGAGCATATATTCATGTGTAGAGAGGATAGGACTGCAAATGTTTGAAATATGTTCCTCAGTGTCCCCACAAGAAATTATATGTAGCTATACCCATATATGTATCTAACTTTGTTACAAACATCTCACATATCCAGTAAACAAATATTATAATAGCAATAATAATACCAGTAATATCTGCTGTTCATCTCCTCTTTAGTTCTGATGTATCATATAACTTTCATCGAGGCATTCAGATTCTTAAATCTTTTCAAATACCACACTTCCCATGAAATTCTTGATTATCTTCTTCATCACACCTGATATTTCTTTCTTTTTTTTTTTTTCAATTTATTTCTGGTCAATTTTACTGTTAAGAACTATTTGAAAAGCTACATTTTCAGGGCTTTTAAGATTTA